TAGGTGCCGGACCGTGCGAACAGCGCCTGCCAATCGCCCGGCTCCGTGTTAATTGAGCACTGAGGTGAAACCCCCGTGGAGGGCGAAGACAAGGTTAAAAAGCCTTTTGTCCCTGGGGTTGTTTTGTGCAGAATGAGTTCGGCTCTTTGAGAAACAAATAGCGAGGCGCAGCACGGTGGTGAGCCACTCGATGTATTTAGGGACACAACTGTAAACAGCTGGATTCTCAGCTGCTCTGATCAGCCATCTCCTCGTTGTCTTAGATGCTTTTTAAGCCTCATCAAGTTCAAGCCATCAGCCGCTGGAAGCAAGCAGAGGCAAAGCTGCCGATGACTTCAGATTTCCCACATCTGCTGGCAGTAAATGTAAAGCCATAGACTGAAAAGCCAGGACTAGCACCTGAGTTGGTGTAGGGAGACTACATCCATTTACACTTGCTGGGCAGGTGTCCTTAAATGCGCGTAATACTTAGACATGCTGAGCGTTCTCAGTTCCTTGCTTTTTGCAGTACACATCTATGAGCACCAGCCCCAAAGTATCTAGGCTTGGCAGCTTGGATTTACTTTGTTAGGGCAAATTCTGACCTTGCTCAGCTGATTAGCAGAGCGCTCATGGCTGCCGACCGCCAGTAATATGTGTTCCTATTGGTGGTACGCATTTTCACATGCCATGGTGCACATCAAAAAATTTATTCTGCACATGGATGAAAAAAATGTAGCGGGAACATTGGTAGTGACATTTCATCGCTTGGTGTTGGGCCCTCACAACAGGGCTACGTCTAGACTGGCATGATTTTCCGCAAATGCTTTTAACTGAAAAGTTTTCCGTTAAAAGCATTTGTAGAAAAGAGCATCTAGATTGGCACGGACGCTTTTCTGCAAAAGCACTTTTTGTGGAAAAGTGTCCGTGGCCAATCTAGACGCGCTTTTGCGCAAAAAAGCCCCCATGGCCATTTTCGCGATCGGGGCTTTTTTGCGCAAAACAAAACTGAGCTGTCTACACTGGCCCTTCTGCGCAAAAGCTTTGCGCAAAAGGACTTTTGCCCGAAAGGGAGCAGCATCGTATTTCCGCAAGAAGCACTGATTTCTTACATGAGATCGTCAGTCTTCTTGCGGAAATTCAAGCGGCCAGTGTAGACAGCTGGCAAGTTTTTTGCTTTTGCGGAAAAACTTGCCAGTCTAGACACAGCCCCCAGGTGTATTATGACTGGGGAGAGGGGTAACGGGGTGACAGCATGGTGGGAGGCCGGGGTGCCTTAGTAAAGTACTTGTGACTGGTTTTTGAGACTGCTTTTCTAGAATGCTAATCTATGTAAATAGCAAAGGGGGAAATTTTTAAGTCTCTGAACTAAAAGCCGACCTTTGCATTCCTCTGAAGTTGTGCTCACCCCAGATTTCTCATCGGAAAGCCATGCAGTTCAGAGGTACACCCTTCGGACATTTTCCTCCACAGGGATCTAGAATTCACAAAGCCAGCAGAAAATAACCTGTCCAGGGTGTCCATGTTGACTGGAAAGGCAGGGCCAAATTGCTGTTACTTTGGGGCAAATCCAGAGTACTGCGGTTAAAGCCAACGGGGTTATTCTGCGTTTACACCGCTGGCACTGAAAACGGAGTGCAGGCTTTCAAGTTTGCCGCAGCAACCAAGGTGCTAGATAGAGCCAGTGCCCCCTCCTCTGATCTTGGGTGAAAAGCAAGGAGTGACTTTGGAAAGTCTCAGAAAGTTGATGCTGGCAGGAGTGACCTATTGCCTCGTCTCACTCCATTTTCTTGGCAGGCTCGGGGTGTAAGATTCCTGAGCAACCGGGCAGTGTGTTTCGTCACGGACAAATCGGACTGCAGCGGCATGTGGCAGCCTGTTCTGGGAGAATCCATCTGTGACCGGCTTTACACTGAGCTGAGCTTACAACTGGTCCGTTGAACTAACCCCAGCCTTTTGTGATCGATGGAGCTTCCTCCATCAGCCTGGCCTCTGAGCGGCTTGTACTGTATCCCCCTCACCCTGCGGGGCGTTTTCGCCTCCCAGGGGCTGTGGTTTTTCATTTTGTCCCCAAGAAGCAAGCCTGGTTTCTAAAGGACCCTTCCCCTTGGAGCCTACGGCTCACCCTCATGTGTTTTCATTGTTTGTCCCCAAGAAGCAAGCCTGTCTCCTCTGGTTTCCAAAGGACCCTTCCCCTTGGAGCCTACGGCTCACCCTCATGTCGACCTTACCTCCAGGGAGTCGTCAGCATTCACCATCCAGCAGTCTGTCCAGGTGGCTGCTATCAAAAACCCGGCCGAGAAGAAAGCGAAGAAACACGCGACGTACTGGAGAAGATGCTGCATCGCAACAAGTGTTCAGCACGGATGGGGGGAGGGGAGGACATAAATAACAACACGTCCCGGGAGCCTCTGAGCTCACTGCTCCTGTCTCTCCATGGCCAGTGAGTGAGGTTCCCTTTTCTTTTCTAAGCACGAACGCTCAGCTGGACCGCCAGCTGCCACTGAAGGAGGGTCAGAGAGGTCATTGCAAGCAACTGAGCTTGCAGCCAATCAGAGTCACTCCCTTAAAACTCGGGAGGACTGGGCGGAAGCAACTCAAGTTATGCAGAACATGCACACGGGCAATTAAAGTGTCCCCAGCGCTCCTGGAATGGTGGCCGGGGTTTGGCCAAAGTGCTGCTTTTCTATGAGCAAGGGGAAGGGGGAGAAACCTAGAATCACAGAACACTACCACTGGAAAGGACGTCGAGAGGGCATCGAGTCCAGTCCCCTGCCCTCATGGCGGGACCAAGCACCATCTAGACCATCCCTGACAGGTGTGTGTCCAACCTGCTCTTCCATATCTCCGGTGATGGAGATTCCACAACCTCCCTGGGCAATTTATTCCAGTGTTTCACCACCCGGACAGGCAGGAAGTTTTTCCTTATGTCCAACCTAAGGAAGAGGAATCAACTTTTAGGCTTCAGGATATATGATGTTTAAATCTCTAGAGATCAGGAAGAAATTTGCCCCCCACCTAACTCTGTCCACGTCAGAGCACTAGGCAACTAAGGAGGTTTATTTACAAAACAGGTGATCAGGGATTTTCCTACACCCTCTTTCCCCAATACCTGCCCCCCAGTTTTGTGAACTATGGTGCCATACAGCCCACCTTCACCCTCATGGTCTCACCCCGCATTGGCCCTGACGCCCCCCTTGTAAATTCAAACTCCCACCCCCCTAATTTCAATTCCTGGGGTGGCTACTGGGTGAGGTTTTTCCAGAATTAGATCACCAGCTACTCATTTGGTCTCTGCCGGAGGCTAGATGCCAGACGAGATGCACTGGAGATCTGATTCAGCATGAAACTCTGTTACCTTTGAAAATGAAAGCCATGTTGAGGAGGCACACACGCCTCTGTGGACAGAACACCCCTACTCGGAGGTGGTTGAAATCAGAACTCAGATCTGCAGCTTTTTGCAAATGAACCAAATAAAAATGTGGCTTGGTCGCCATCTGGAAGAGCTTCGTTCTCCTAAAACAGGGGTGTCCAAACTTTTTTCAAAGAGGGCCAGATTTGATGAAGTGAACATGCGTGAGGGCCGACCATTTTGCCTGACATTCTTTGAACCATTAAAATTAAATGCAAATTAACTATTTTATGCAAAGTTTATTGCAAACGGCATACTTTTCATTTCGTCACATGGATGACAAATCTAAACAGGTGTTAAATCACTCTGCCTTTCATATCTGAAGGCCAGATGAAAAAAAAATCCAGGAAGCTGAAATATGTCAGGAACATTGTAAAGTACATTACGTATTATTGGTAATAAAGGTTGTCTGTCAACTTTTAAGTTCAAAAAATATGAACAGGAACATAACACCAAGTATACATGTTGTGTCCAAATATATTTATAACTGATTTAGACCAACTGACATTAACTGAGATTTTACAATGTATTCATCTCAATACATATGGATTCGTTGGGGGCCATAAAAGATAGATATTGCCAAATTACCTGTGGGGCCATATTAAACCGGAACACGGGCCGCAATTGGCCCGCGGGCCGGACTTTGGACATGCCTGTTCTAAAAGCTTGTGTCAAGCCACAGGGCCAGGGCCCAACATGGTTGTGGATTCGCTTCAAGACAGAGGCGATTAGGGACAGATAGTTGCTTTTATTCATCTCACTACAAATACAGGCTTAACAGCGCCAAACGGTTACACGGCCACTACAAAATACAAAGCTCACTACATGACTACCGTTACAGGCTTGATACTGCCAATACACAGCTCCTGCAAACGAATCCGAATAATCAGCACAGGCAAAGCAATGCATATAAGTGAGCAACAGGCACTTGGAAATGCTTATGCCCCTTCAGGTCTGCAGGGAGTCCCGTTCCGGTCACCTCGCACCAGGCCACAGTGGACGAGGCTCCAGCTGGGGTACCCAGGGCACCTTCCAAGGTAAAAGGTCTCTGGTGGAGCTCCCAGAGGGGCGGGACCCCCAGCAGGTCTTATACTTTAGGGCTGTGTCTAGACTGGCCAGTTTTTCTGGAAAATCAGCTGCTTTTCCAGAAAACTTGCCAGCTGTCTACACTGGCCACTTGAATTTCCGCAAAAGCACTGACTTCCTACTGTCTGAAATCAGTGCTTCTTGCGGAAATACTGTGCTGCTCCCATTCAAGGAAAAGTCCTTTTGCGCAAAAGGGCCAGTGTAGACAGCTCAGATTTGTTTTCTGCAAAAAAAGCCCCAATCGCGAAAATGGCGATTGGGGCTTTTTGGCGGAAAAGCGTGTCTAGATTGGCACGGACGCTTTTCCGTAGACGCACTTTTCTGAAAATGCTTTTAACGGAAAACTTTTCCGTTAAAAGCATTTCTGGAAAATCATGCCAGTGTAGATGTAGCCTAGCTGTTTACTGAGTGTATGCGAGTTGGCCCAATGCCACCCTCAACGTTCCCACGGGGCTGATGTCTGAGGTCACGTTATTTATCCCATACAAGGTTCTCAGCTGGCAAGCAAGGAGAGTTTAGGCTGGTGAAGGCCGTCTGATAAAGAACACCTGATGTTTTTGCTAGCAGTCCTGCAGGCTGGCCTAGAGGAGCACAAACTTAACCCCAGCAGGCCCTCCTATGGCTCACACTACAGCTTGGTCTGCCCATCCTCTTCCTGCGAAATGCAGGTCCTGTCTGCCTTGTTTCCCTGACAATGCTGCAGATGAGTAGATGATACCATCCGGGTAGGAGAAAGAGGCTATGTCTACACTGCTGGCATCTTCTGGAAGAACCGTTTTTCAGAAGAGATCTTCCAAAAAAACTTTTTCCCAACGAGAATGTCCACACATAAAAGCGCATCAAAAACTATCTGCTTTTTTAAAGATAGCGTCCATTCAGTGTGGACACTTTCTTGCATTTCAGCTGTGATTATAATCACAGAGCTCAACATAATGTAACCTACTCACCCATGGCGAATAGATTACAACCGGGAAGAGCCAGCGCAGAGCGATCTGCGCATGCGCAGAACGCAGAATGCAGAATCGTGTGAAACTGCACGGCTGGTGAGCCCTGGTGATTACTATGGACAGAGTGGCCACCAGGGCACCTGTGCTTTTTCCTCTTCTTCCGAAAGAACATCCTCTTCTCCGTCCACACACGCCTTTTGGCGAAAGAGCTCTTTTGGAAAAGGGCTTCTTCCTCATAGAGAGAGGATTGCCAACACCGGAAAAACCTCTCTGTTCTTCTGGTTTACTTTCAGAAGGATGCAATTGCAGTGTGGACATAACTCAGGTTTGTCAGAAAAACGGCCATTTTTCCGACAAAACTTTGTAGTGTTGACATACCCAGAGGCTGTAATTCCTTTCTCGGAGAAAGGAAGGGATTTGTATTCAGACTATTTTCAATGGTTTGTCTTTTATTTAAAGCTTGTCTGCATGGTGGCGCGGTTCAGACGATGGAGTTGGGAACAGCAGCAGCCAAGAGCTGTAACTGACCGGTGTAGTCCACGTGGATGCAAACTCAAAGGCACCTCGCTGACGTGTACGTCATTCAGGTTCAAACAGGGCTGCGCTGTGAGGCGTAAGGGACAGCAGCTGCCGAACTCTGGTTTCTAACATTTCTTCAAGCCAGATAATTCTTCCGAGGGGGCCTTTTCTGCCAGCTGTTCCCATGTTGATGAATCAGCCTTTTTTGGTGAAACGTTTTGTCGTAAAAATTCCCAACCAGCTCTGCTCACAGTCCTCATCTGAGACTCCTCCCAATGAGCCATCCGGTCAAAGCAAAGAAGACCCAGTATAGATTCCGGACATGTCAAGGTACAAACAAGCAGAACCCCCCTTTCTCTACTGTTTTTCTTCTGGGGGGAAAGGGATGTAAGTGGGAGGAAATCCTGGATTCTTTGGAAATTTTCCCAGCACCAGAGTTTCCGGTTAAATTAAACACTCTGGGAGCCTAGAACTCTGATTCCAGTTATGATACCGACTCTCTATGTGCCTTGGGCAAGTCGCTTAACCTCTGCAGGCCTCAATGCCCTCATGTCAGATGGAGATCACGGTCTTTACCTGTCTCACTGGATGGTCACAAAGATTTTAGCCAATGCTAATGGAGCAGTCTGAAAACAGAATGTGCTTTATCGTGTCCTGGATCCTGCAGTCATGGTTGTACCTGAAATGCCACAGAGAGACAGGGCCTGAATTTACATCAGCCTTCCATTCGTTGCATGCACCACTTAGGACTTCATGTAGATGTGTACGTGCCAGGTGGCGCCTACAAATCTGGTACTAAGATATGCAAGAGACTATGCCTAAATTAATGATGTGCATGCACAATTTCTCCCAGAGCTTATGGGGCCCTCACAGTAGTTACCAAGTGTACTAGCTAGGTGTAAAAATGGGAACCAGCTGTTCCAAGTGCAGCCTCTCAGGACTCAACAGAATCATAGAATCATAGAATACTAGGACTGGAAGGGACCTTGAGAGGTCATCACGTCCAGTCCCCTGCCCTCATGGCAGGACCAAATACTGTCTAGATCATCCCTGATAGACATTTATCCAACCTGCTCTTAAATATCTCCAGAGATCGACATTCCACAACCTCCCTGGGCAATTTATCCCAGTGTTTAACCACCCTGACAGGTAGGAACTTTTTCCTCATGTCCAACCTCAACCTCCCTTGCTGCAGTTTAAGCCCATTGCTTCTTGTTCTATCCCCAGAGGCCAAGATGAAAACAGAAACATTATTACAAATGAACGCTTGCTTAGCTATGGAAAGTGGGACTGGGCATGGGCTATTGAGAACTCTGGGGACCCATGAAAAAACGTATGCTCTATAGTGCTGCCAACCCGAAGCAGTCAAAGGTCATGAACAAGGCTGCCCAAAATCATGAGACTGGCTTGCAAATCATGAGACTCAAACATGAAGAGATGGAGGAAGGGGTTCTCAAATTATATTTACTTTCCGGTGCTGCAGCATTTATGGCTGGTGGTTTCAAGCTCTTCTCCG